GAAAAAGGCTGACGTCTACAGGTTAACAATTCACTTACAGAAATGTTAAGTGAAAATAAGAAGTAACATGTAATATATCAGCTTTAACAAGATCGCACGTCTCACACGCAACTAACGTTAAATCTGCCACTGATGGGGAAACGCTACACCTGACAAATATGATGATGTTTGCTTATCTATACCAAAAGGGTGATGATGATCACACTGCCCCTAAAGAGATATGCAGATTAGCAGCACTTGACATCACATGAAAACTATTTTTGGAAATCACAACAGATGCTTTCTTCCATTTTCAATGAAAAGAAATGAACATATCCAGTATATATACTTCGTTATTAGGGTAATCTGACTCTACCTGAAGCTGAAGTAACCGAATAAGGAGTCTGACCTTTAAAAAAAATTCATGTTCCTCCCTCAGAAAGTTTTTGGACTCTTACTTCATTTCAAGATTATGATTCGTCTGCCAAAAAAGAAAGAAACGACAAAAACATGTTTGTGTAGCAAGGCCCAGAGCAAACCTACCTGCTGTGGCTGTGGAGCTGGCTGAGGTGTTGTGGCTATATGTTCAGTCTTCACCTTGGACACGAGGGGAAGGGGTGTCAGGCAGGAGGCAGGCCTCCCTACAGTGGCAGCACCGATGCCAACTCCGCCCACTCCCACTGTTTGAGTGACGGGGCTCTGAGGCTCAGAGGATGGGGTCTCCTCGGTGTGGAGACCCTGGGAGTCACAGCTTGGAGAGGAGACCTGGTGTGGGGCAAGTTTCATGAATATGAGCAAAACATATTATGCCATTAGAAGGGTAAATCTCCTGTAAACATAATGTATGTCTGATATTTACTCAAATCTGACGGCAGCACTGAAGACAGGTAAAAAGAGACAGCACTATTAAATATATACATATATTAAATATTTACTGAGGGAAACTTGGTTGTTTGATGGAGCTGGGCTTAACATTTCTCAAATAAGGTATCAAAAATGTGTCTAGCACTTAAATCTCAGGCAACACATGGCAGCAGTGGTGTAATAATTTAGTAATAAAGAACATAAATGATGACATTAGGAAGCATCCTGAGCTTGAACAAATGAAACCAACACTTGTATTACAAAACCTGCAGTTCCTCTAGTGGACAGCAGAGGCTCGCTCCAAAATTGAGTTGATCTTCTGTCCTAACATACCCAAATATTAAATTTCTGAAAACAATCCTTAAAAGGGCGATTCAAAAAACAGAGCTGGAGTCTTTGCATCACTGTTTTTATGAGGCGGGGGGAAAAAATCACTGATCTATTCTTTTTCTTTAAGGCTTAAAATTAGGGGTGTAGCTTATGTTATCAGAATATTTTGTCATTTTATTAGAAGTAACTAATAAAAAGTCTGTCCAAGAAGTTTGCACTTGGCCTCAGTTAAGAAGAAACTTCTGTTTTATTTGTATGTTACTTAGCACTAGCTAGCTAATCTTCTATACACGATCTATGGAAATGAAAAAAGTAATTCACACCTGAAGTTCATGTATAATGGTACAAAGAAGCCAGAAACAAATGACCATACAGCATTTACTGTAAAGCCATCAATGAGGCAGTTAACGCTACAGTAATAGTTTATCAATAAAATAGTAATATCTGAAAAATATGTGCTGATTAAAAGGTTAATATGTTCATGTTATTGTGGTTACAATCTAAAGCAGTATAATCAAATTAAGCGAAAAGTCCTGGAGTTCAAAATTAACAGTCTCCATATTATAATGCTGAAAATAATTCTCCTTAATGTATGAAACATTCACTTTAGTTTCACAGAAACCAAGGGGAAGAAAAAACATAAGGCAACTTTAAATCTAGTAATCATGAATCAAACATGGGCATACTGGCTATTTAACATCACAACACTACTGGGAACTAAAAGATCGTTCATTTTTAGCACTATTTGGTCATTGTATTAACAATTCTATCAAAAATTTCTGCCAAAATAGCTGATGGAGTAAGAAAACTACAAATAATGAACATTTTAGGAACAGTAAACTGATGAGATTGCACGATATGACTGTTCTAGTATCAAATCTTGTTGTATTGATTGTTTTTCTACTGGTCTACTAGCACATCGCTGGCATTTTATCAACTCTGTGTCTAGAGGTGTTAAGTGGAACTTTCAAGGAAATCAGTCCCGCTCATTAATATGCTAATTTATGCAGCCAGGCACTCCAGATCTAATCAGATCATCTGCTACTATAGAGGGAACCTGTAGTGTCAGTACGACGTTTCAATTATTCTCGATTCACGAGAACGTGTCTACAAACAGAGACGCCCCCATCACAACATAATGCCACGCATAATGTCACGCACAACAGGTAACACGGCGGCAGCACACAGAAACGGCTATTTTTACATCTGCTTCATTTTGATTACATTTAAATAATCCTCATATTCACAGAAGTGTTCCTATGGATGCTCTGCTACATTTGCATTCAACTTTAACAGATGTTTAAATGACTCGATTTGTGATTGCTTCATTATCAGCTTACCTTAAGGAAAAACTCAGTGCCTTTCTCCATGATCTGTTGGATCTGGAGGAAGCCGGCGGTGTACATGAGCAGAAACTGGTCTCCCACATTCATGCTGAGGCGCCCCGTGTAGCAGAAGGCCAGGATCTGCTGGAAACTCTGCGGCTGCACGGCCGGGGGTAGCTCCACCACCGAGCTCTTCCCCCCAGCATTGAACAGGTCCCGGAAGTAGGAGCTGCTGGCTGCCAGCACTGCACGGTGGGCCTGAGGGGTAAACAGCAGGGGTAGTGAAGTCGTAAGGGTTTAAAAATACATCAACTCCGATGCAGTAAACAGTATATATCAACATCCTTATCCGGAGATTTGCACTTGCTCATGTTTGTTGTCAGTAAGGTAGAAGACATAAACAAACAGGAAAGTAGTAACAGAAGAAGACAAACACATTTTTATTGTTAATCTCTGGTTGAATTTATTTTAATGGAAAGCATGAAAATTGCATTCTGTTGTAAAGGAAACTTCACGTATTGCTCAACAGTAACTTTTGAAGCACTGCCAAAATTAGTGTCTTCAGGTTACGATGTCAAATTGCACTAAACAGTCCAAAACTAACAATTTATTGACTGATCAGGAGAGGCAGACAAAGGAAGCTCAAAAAATGTTGAGACTATTAGTTTTTGACCTGAGGCATCGTTTTTTTTATCCTACCAAGAGATTCTCACCAAAATCCTGACACTACATGCACAAACAGTACTCCAGGCAATTCATCTGCACATTCTGGCAACAAGGAAACACGAGGACCTAGAATTACCAGCTTGCCGCTGTGTCTCTCAGTGAACAGAGTCAAGCTGCATTTTACATCCGTGCTTGTCTAGACTCATACGTAGAAGACTAAGGTTGCAGTGGCTGAGATTTTTCCAGTTCAAATACGACACCTTGGCTTGGGTTATCTTCCAGTTAGTGAGTAGCTGTCAAACACCAATGTCAAAATAATAAGCTGTATTCACTCTGAGGAAGAGACTGGGAGTCAGTCTTTATGTGTAAGCCAACATCAGGCTCTACTTAAACACTAACTTTGTAAAACAAACTGCGGCAAATAAATACACCCAAGAATAGAAATGTATTGAATTGGTATGTCATAGTAATTATAAGCATGTGGAGTGGAGCTGACAAGAGACAGATAATGTGGAAATATATTCATGTGCAAAAAAAGCTCCCCAACAAGTGTTACACTGAACATAGTGAGAGAGAAGGGACGGCGATAGCAATGTCGCTGTCAAAGCTTCTCAGTCCTGTCAAGTTATATGTCCATGCTGTGCAGTTTGCATTAAGTCAAAAGTTACTGCAAACTTAAAAGAACACTTACTGGTGAAACGTGTGAAATACCTCCAAACATACTGCCAAAAGTATTCGCTCTTCTGCCTTCACATGCATATAAAAAAGAGTTCTTAATCCATAGGGTTTGATATGATATCAGCTAGGGCTGCACGATTAATCGTTAGAAAATCGCGATCTTGATTCATACTTATGTGCGATCTCATTTCCAAATGACAACGATTTAAAAAAAAAAAAAAAAGACGACGACGATTCGCATTTTGATCCGGGACGTAATCTGCATGAAAACAAGCGCTCACTCTTCCTGCTCAACAAATGACAAGGGCGGAGCCTTATACCACGTGATACAGAAGCTGTGCCGTGTGACGCTAAAATTAGCAGGGAAAAAACAACAGAGAGCACGTCAGGGCTGACGAGAAAGTGACTGGAGAAAATCCGTCCCGGTCAACCACCCAAACATCAATAACGGGAACCTTATACAGCGTTCCCCATACCCGTCGAACTCCCGCAGGCACAAAGAAATTACGGAGGCTATTACTTATCACCTGACCAAAGATATGGCTCCATCAACACTGTGCAAAACGAGGGATTTAGGAAAATGATCAACACCCTAGACAAACGCTACACAGTGCCGTCCCGCAACTATTTTTCTATTGTTGCACTACCTGCTCTATACACGCAGTGTCGAGCAACGGTGGAGACGCAATTTCAAGCAGTACAACATTTTGCGGCAACGACAAAATGTGAGACATTTGTTGTTTTTATGTTTATTTACTGTTTTTATGTTCAGTCTCAACTGTTACGAAGTTGATGTGCAGTTAATAAATGCAATAAATATTTATACTGAAAAAGAAAATCGTGAGAGAATCGTGATCTCAATTCTAAGCAAAAAAATCGTGATTCTCATTTTATGCAAAATCGTGCAGCCCTAATATCAGCTTCAATTTATCTGGGAGGGCTTTCCACAATATTTAGGAGTGTTTATGGGAATTTTTGGCCATTCTTCCAGAAGTGCATTTGTGTGTTCAGACACAGATTTTTGGATGATAAAGCTCACAGTCTCTGCTCTAATTGTAAAGGTGTCCTAGGAGGCTGAGGTCAGGACTCTGTGCAGGCCAGTCGAGTTCTTCCACACCAACAGGAGCAAACAGAACAACACAGAGTTGACTGCAAAGAATAGATGACTCCCACAGATCAGTTCGCTCACCTTGATAACAACTCACTAACAACTACATCCCTAAAAACAACTATAAAGGAATGTGATATGTGACATCAGTGTCATTATCTGTCCATTGATGAAATATGGCCACAATCTCTTCTTCTCTTTTTCACTTATGATGTTGAAAAATGAATAACACTAGTGCTTTTGCATTTGGATCATCCGACATAAATGTTGTCATAATCAGTAAAAGTTTTCTTGAGTTACAAGCAAAAACATCTTTTGAAATGTCACCGTGACATTGAGATCCTTTCATACTTTAGTGAGAGTGCACATTTCTGCCAAATTTGGAGAAATTCAAAGTAAATAGATTACAGTAGAGAGTTGGCAATGAGAGTAAGCTAAGTGGAGACATAAAAAGATAAATTACTTTTAACTTTAAATATGCGCTTTTGATTCTGCCTGTATTCAGGTCAAACAAAAACGTCGTTAGCTATATTAGTTTGAATGAAGTCGTCAAAAAACTCAATTCTGACCTTGAAGGCATGTCCCTTGACGACCACGGAGACGTCACAGTAGAGGCCCTGCAGCCGCTGCTCGTTCAGACACTCCAGGACATTGTTGCCAAAGTTAGGGATCGCCATCTGCAGCGTCTGAGCCATAACGCTCTGCCCAGCACCACAGGGTCTGCAGGAAGTAGAAACAAGTTAGTGTGTGGATAACAGGAGCACTGGAAGGTTAAAAAGGAAGGAGTGGAGGAAAGGAATTATCTGGAAGGAAGGTAGATGAAGGGATGATGGGGACATACAGGTAATTGGCAGGAAGGTCAGGAGAGTTGGGAATTGGTACAGGAAAAAAATGAGACGTGATGGAAAGGAGACGATAAAATGAGGCAGCGTAACAGGAGCAAAGGAAACCAAATAAATGAGTTATGAGATAAGAGCGCAAAGAAGAACTGGAAAATATGCAAAAACACAAGCAAGGCAGAGTTAAGGAGGAACGACAGAGACTTAAAATAAAGAAATGGGGTAAGTAAAATGTATGATGATTAATGAATTAAGTATTTGGTAAACAACTTTAATTCAAAACTCTATCTTTCAAATGAAACAGAATTTGGGGCCACCAGCCACAGTTACATAAGCCTTTATCTTTTTTTCTTTAAAAAAATCCCTTGTTTCATGACATCTAATTCTCAGTTAATAAACTGTTTTGGTGGTTTTTGGCCTACTTTGTTATTTTCTTGTCGTTGCTTCCCAGTCAAAACACAGCCTCTTACATAACTCGTCTATTTCACTCGTCTTCGTCACATCCAACAAAGAAGCTTGTGATCAAAAGTGGAGGAACTGTCAAAGTACAGAAAAGAAATAAAATAAAGCAGGACTTTATCTCTAAAATCGGTGTTTCTCATGACTGAAGTCATCACTTTTTTGGTTTTGTTTAAAAATGCACAATACAAACACAGAACGACTCGAACGCCAAGTATGACAAAGCAGAAGTAAACAGACGAGAGCACAAAGGTGAGTCACGACTCCACTGAACAAATACGTTATATAGAGGATCGTGGCCTCCGAGTGATGGATGGCGGCCAAGCTTAGCTGACACGACAAGTATTTGGAGCGCAGCTTGTGGTAAGGAGCTCCTACCCTGGCTACAAACCCAAACAAACCACTAATAGGAAACTGATTAGCCTCGTTCCCCCACTAGGAACGAGGCTCGCAGACCAAGCCTAGAACCTACACACCAGCTTTCTAACTCCAGTTCTCCTCATACATTTGCGGGAGTGTGTACAGTGATGCAGCAGCAGACACATAAAGGTTAAAAAATATCATATATACAGCTTTTCTTGAGGTTGCTCCCTTCTGGGGCTGCACCAGCAGATGATCTGCTTCCCTCTCACCCTACTCCTAAAATCCTCTTCTGTCACACAAATACACAAACTCCATGTCCTCTTTCACTACATCCATGAACCTCCTTTGTGGGATTCCTCTTTTCCCCCTGCCAGGCACCTCTATATTCAACATCCTTTGTCCAGTAGATCCACTGTAGGTGTTGTTCAAACAAAGACTTCTTGGGATTCCCAAAGGGTAACTACTTGAGGTCCACCGATTTTTCGGCGGGCTGATATTATCGGTCAATATTAGCCATTTGGTCATCTATTGGCAGACAAAGGAAAATACACGAAAACTAACTGATCTGCGAAGCATGGGACAGAGCATTACAGAATAAATAAATTTAACATGTTTTGTTAAGATGTGTCTGAAATAATAAAAAACATACTTGCAGATATATCAGATTTTTAAATCACCAAATCCATATCAGTCTTAAAAATCCTTCACTGGTGGGGATCTAGGAGCTGTTCCAAGACCTACTTACCTTGGACAGCGTTTTTTCTGTTTTCATTTTAACCACTAATAAAAATGCTAACATGACAAAATGGCATTTGACACTGCAGCAGCAACAACAACTGCAAGGAGATAAAGCGTGAAACACCCAGTATAACGTCACTTTGCTACATGTGGCGTGGACAGAACAGTGCAGCTGCAGCAGTTTCTTCATTTTCTCGCTGCATTGCTTTACCCAGTGCAGAAACCCAACATAGCAATTTAACACGAAATGCAAGCTAAATTTTTAGTCAGTGTTGCGTGCTTTTTTTACTTTGGTCAGCTACATGATGATTCGCTGATATTACACAACTAAACTTTATATGGATTATTTTTGTCAGTCATCAGTGCTGCAGCAGTGTGCAGTTGATCAATCACTATATATGTATGCATTTTCTTTTTTAGTTCCAACTTTAGGGAAATTATTTTACATCACAAGCGAGACCTTTGAGTAACTTAGGCTACGTTCACACTATGCGACCCATATCCGATCATGGTATGACAGTTTGAATGGCACAAATCCGATATTTTCAAATCCGATCTGGGTCACTTTCGTATGTGGTACTGAATCCGATACATATCTGATGTTTTAGAAAGCGACTGCTGTTTGAACGGTCATGTCGCATTAAATCTGTCTTTTACGTCACTGACACAAGACAGACGCCAATTATCAGCGCCGGAAAGCGCCCGAGAAGACATCGCAAACACTTCCTGGCCATGCCGTGTAGATGTTAGTGAAACTGTTGGGAAGACAACGTGAACATTTTATTTGTACTGTATAATCTGCAGATTCTGACAGAAATCTGCAACTATCCTTTGAAGCCCCGTCCTCTCTAAAACAGCAATAAGGATCATTATTAGGTTATTTACATTATCATGTAAATAACAAAATAACTTAAAGCAAAAATTGGGAAACATAAAGTCCGAAGTCTATATTAAGGGCCATCAGTCAAACAATACTGTTTGCTCTGGGTCTAAACAGAGCGCATTGTGTGTGACGTCTTCTTTTGCGCATGCAGGCCGCTTTGAGCGTTCACACTAGAGAGCGTTTGCTGTCGCATTTTATTTGTAGTGTGAACAAGCAGACAAAAAAATCGGATTTGATCAAAAAATCAGAATTGAGCATCAAGACCTGCAGTGTGAACGTAGCCTTAGACTTCAGTCATACAGGCCTAGAGACCAGTTGGCAACAACCTGGCAACCTCTGCTTGTAGTTTGCAGATGTTTGTCATTTGATTTCAAAGCTGTAAATAAAGTTGTGTTGCAAACTGAAAAGCAAGAGGGTGATTTCAAAGCAAAGGTTGTAGCACTGTGGAACAACTTGTGTTTCTAAGGCGAATATTCTTTTTTCATAGATTGTCTCCTGCTTTGTGAGTAGCTTGAGCAAGTCAACATCTTCCACACAAACTATTGCCAACTGCAACAACCTGCTAGCAACCAAAACAACAGCACCAAGTGCCTCTTTGAAGCAAGGTTCCCATTAACAACTGAGAGAAAAACCTCCCCAGCTTGTCATAGAATACACATTTTTTCCTTGCGACTAGAAGTTACCAGATGGTTGCCTAGTTGGTCTCTAGGCCTGTATGACTGAGGCCTTACTCAAAGGTCTTGTGATGTAAAATACTTTCCCTAAAGTTGGAACTAAAAAAGAAAATGCAAGAGGTTCTCAAGGGAACTAAGAACCAGTGCCACTTGAGAAATACCTTCAAATGTTTTAAAGTATCAGATTTCTATGCCTCTTAGCTTATCAATTCCTTTATCAATGCCTGCAGGTGCTGGCAGTGTGCACTTTGATTGCAAAACAACCTCATACACATGTCTAGTGTTACCACATAAAGGAGTTATGGCAGAGAGGAAGAAGTGGCTCAGAGCATGACTTGATTTCACTAATAAAAATGAGAACAGTTCTGGTTGTTGCAATGACTGCAAAGTGATTATTTCAAGTAGGGATGGAAACACCAGCAACATGCTGAAACATCTCACACACAACGTGAGCTTCACTTCCATGTATGTGACGCTCTAAATACATGCAGAACAAGTGCTATTGCTACTGTCGCCCAACAGTGCTGCTTAGTGGTAACTGGCACTAAATAAGCTGAAATATAATAACATTAGCACCGTGCTTAAAGCTTAAATTGTGGGGCGACTGTGGTTCAGAGGGTTGGGAAGCTCATCTGTAACCGGAAGGATGCCGGTTCGATCCCCCTGCTCTCTCTGTCCTGGTCCTTGGGCAAGACCGCCTACTGGTGTTGGCCAGAGGGGCCGATGTTGCGATATGGCAGCCTCGCTTCTGTCAGCCTGCCCCAGGGCAGCTGTGGCTACAACTGTAGCATCAGTGAGTGAATGAATAGTAGAATTGTAAAGCACTTTGGATGCCCAGAAAAGCGCTATATATTATAAATTAAAACAAATGCCACACAAACATGCTCTCATTCCCTCCACCTCAGATGCTGATGGATAGACTGATGTTACAGCTAGCATTAGGCAGTACTCTGTTTGGGACTTTAGATAATGAAGTTGTTCTGACAAAAAAACCTCACTGTACTCATTTTCTCACATAAAATTGAGCCAAGAATTGATAAAGAACCGGATCAATAAGCACATCACATTAAAGAAATCTACAAAATCTTATCAATTCCCATCTCTAGCCTTGACACAAAAAAACTACCTGCCATTCAGAACGGGAAAAGCGTGACTGATCCATGTTGCTTATTTGAACTGTCACAGGAATGTTAATGGAAACCTGGATGTAATAGCATTAATCATCAAAGTGCGCCGATGCAAAGAGCTTCTAGGGTAGGTACTTCAATTTCTGGTAAAAGTTTTCAATATCTGGATTCAGATTTTTTCATAACAACTTACTGCCAAACACGCCTGTCCCTAGCACGTTTCAAAGCCTTTCAGTGACTTTTTAAAAAGTCAAAATCATTGTCTCTGGGACAATGAATCATGTACTATTCTAGTCTTCTTAACTCTGATCTAATATTCATCACACATCTGACAGAACTGCTGGATCACTTCATCAGCTGGAATCAATAGAAAAAACATCTTGATAATAAGAAATTGCTCACCTGACGTATATTGTAATCTTGAAAAGGTCTAGAACTCTGTAGGTCATTATTTCTTAAAGTCTGATTAACCTCCCTCACTTGAGGTCATAAACAGATTGAGTACAGTTTTATTATGTAGACACATCATCAAATCACAAAGAGCTCATGTTATAGAAGCATATTTATTCATCTCTGGTTTACAATAAAAGAAGACAATTTGACTGTCATTAGCTACTTTATAATACAGGCTCCTTCA